CAGGACACAAAAGCAAGCATAACAATCGGCTGAGGAAAAAAGGAGCAGACCTCAGCGAACTTCAAAGTGCCATTGAATCCATAAAGCAGACGCAGGAGGACATTAACAGGTGGGAAGTATAAGTCACACTGCGAGGCGACTGCGGTAACACGCTGGACCTTTCAGCACTCACACGTAGCATCTGTGTGTTTGCAGGACCATCACCGTGCTGCGGAGTCGTGCAGCGAGCCGGGTGGAGGGCAGCTCCTTCCTCCAGCAGCGTGACTACATCATCATCATTTTTCTCATCTTCCTTCAGGTCCTGATCAACTACATCTTCAAGTAGCAGCCATACCCCCAGAGACAGCGATGTCCTCGCACTCACACGCCCTCTGAGCCTCGTGGGGGCGGACTCAGACTTCAACAGTCCTCTCCAACTCTCTTCTCCTCTGTCTTTATTAGACTCACTCACATGTATCCAGAAAAGCAGACTCTTCAACACAAAGAGAGACTTTTTAAAAACATATTTATTTGGAACCAGTCTTTTGGAAAATCTGGAGAGATCCTCAGATTTCAAAGTGGAGAGGAGCAGCGGTAAGGAGAAGTTCGGTGTGAATAAATCTCGACTGCCACCCGGAGGCGTGTTGATTTGCCTTGATGTAAGAGGCAGAGACAGCAGCCATTTTTAACCTGTTGTTTGTTTGTTTGTCTGATGGAGTGAAATTACTCTGTCGGTTCACATTTCACCTCAAACAGGTAATCGTTTACCACACAATCAAGGACCACAACTCAGAGCGTAACAGAGGACAAATAGATCTCTGATTTTACTGTTTTTGTTTTTATTCTTTTGCTTCTTCACTCCGCGTATCCTTTGTAAGTTGACGTCTGCTCAGAGCAGAAAACTAGCGATGAGGGAGGCGGGGCTGGGGGACGCAGTCCAGTCTGTGGGACTTTTGTGTTTTTATTGTAACGGCCGGAGATTCCACAGGCGGACGTGGCAACAGGGACAGAAAACACAAGGGACGTCGTCGTATTAAAGCTATAATTTCTGCTGTATAATAAACTCCACATTTTGCATACAAAGTCAGTGTTTAAAAGAAAAGTCAGACATTTGACACAATGTCATTGTATACTGTAGGTAGCATGTACAGACAGGAGCAAGGTTAGGACACTATGTATTTTGTATTTTGTTTTAAGGCACAAATGCACTGGAAATGTCAGATGTTTGTATGATTTCTACACTTTTTATCTGTGGACATGAAAATGCTTTTACACGTCTTTCTCATCAACAGGAGGAAAATAAGATACATTTCTTTTGGCCGTTTCAGTGATCACTGCCCTAGATTTCAGGTAAAAGCAGGTGACGTGTTTTTATCTGAGAGCTCGCTGTAAGAAGCTGGATTTAGCAGCTCTAACGAGTCAGTCGCTCCTCTCAGTGGAAGAGCGCAGGAATTAAGTTTGCTGAGACAAGCGATGGGATTGGCCAGCAGCTGCTTGGTAAAAAGAGCTAGCGTGGGTAATGATCTGACCAGAAAAGCTCACTAGTCAACATGTTTTATCTTATTACTTCTGCACAAAAACCAAAGTGTGTAAGAGTCCATAAAACCAGCAGGGGACCTGAGCGGTTCCCTGCTGTGGCTCAGAATTGGTAATAATCCCCTGGTCAGCTCTTTAGAGCCCCCTTTGGTGGTATTTGATCTTCTTATCTAACATACAGCAATATTTCCCAAACTGAACTGGGACTACTCCTTCAGAGAAAATATTAAAATTGCATACGTGAGCTGGCCTAATGGTCTCTATATGTGAA